TAACTGATCTTTATAGAAGATATTCTAAAATATTATTGTATTTCCTTGTTACATATACTCGCATATACATATAATTAATATAAATAGAAGAAGACTGCTTAATACTGCGAGAAGATGCGAAAAATATTACAAATGTAAGTAAGAATTTTGAACTTTATAAGAGTAGTTTGTGGCCGCTGAGTACAAAGTTTATTTTCCACGATCGATACAAGCGAAAATCTATTGCATATTTCCTTAAGTAGTTTTCTATATTTCATAGAATAACTGTTTTTCAAACTACTTAAGGCATTTTTAAAGAAAAAAATTCATATACAATTACATAATATTGTACAATGGCCAAATTTATTAATAAGCTAATTGAAACAATTTTTCTCTTTTTAATGAAATCTACTTCTCTTTCCTCTTGCTTGTTTCTTTAGAAAAGGAATACTCAGATCAAATTTTTACGAAATATTTAAAATAATCCCTCTTATATATCGTAGAAATTCGCGGATATACATGCATTCACATACATATATACCGCATATTAATTATAATATATTATTAACTACGTGCAAATTTTAATTTGATTCAAAACATTCTTAAATATTTCTTATATGCTTCGTAGGATTGATATTAATTGTACAAAATATTTTGTTAATTACATATAATGATTAGCATAATTTATCAAATGTGATATTTTATTTTTTAATAATTATCAATTATACTGAATAGATCTATTGATACATTCTGAGAAATGAAATTTATAAATTGATATTTAATTATGTTTAAAAAAAAGTAAAAAAAGATAAAGATATTAGATAAATTTATTTTAAAACAATTTTTATTTAAATAATTTTATTTAAACAAGTTCAAAATAAAAATATTTATAATTGTAAAATTTCTATATAATAATTCAACATTCGGCTAACAAAAATTCTTTATAATTCTATGATTTTTCTAATTAATTCTAAGTACTTTAATGATTGTTTAAACAAAAATTTACAATATATATATATATATATATACAAATATTTTATTTTCATGAAATAAATTCGAACTGGAAAGAAAACCGATATGTCTTTATATGTTAAATAAATTGCATTAGAATCAATTCTACCTCGCGATCATACCAAAGGAATGTTATTCTGTAATTAAATAAAATAATATGTTATTTTAGAATCTAGAATTTAGACTGTATATATATATATGAAGAGTGCAATTAAAATATTTAAGAACATTTTAGAGTACGAATCATAATGTTGCACTTGTAAAATGCAAAATTGCAAATAATCTTGTAATACTGTAAATAAAATAATAATCGTTTAAGTGCGATTTGTTATTTAGAGTGCTCGAGTGTTTAAACTTATAAATTGATCATATTTAATGAAAATAAATGTTTTATTTAGTTTATTAATAGTTGCAGTAAATTAATTATTCAATTCCAATTATTGTAATTTGCAAAAAAAAAGCCTTTATTGAATCATTATTCTTTATTACAAAATTTCATAATTCGATAAATTTAGATACTATTTTTCTGTATTTTTTCTATTTTTTATATTTTTAATTGGTATATTATAATGGTATCATTAATAAGTAAAACATCTTGAAAATCCGAAAATATATTACATCCTTTAACATACAATAGCATACAAGATTAATTATTTGATGCAATATGTAGAATAGAATGTAGTTATCCTAGATTGAATTATTCATGTAAAAACTGTTTTAAATTTTTTTCCAAATAAATTAACATGTCGTTTATAAAACTAGAAAATGTTGAATACGATGTTTGAGATACGACTAAGTATATCACGATACCGAAGATAATGCTATCTCCATTCTTTTATATTTTTCGGCTTCTTGTTTACTAACCGAAGGTATCAAATCGTACGCTGCTTTTAAAAAATCTTCTAATTCTACAACAACATATTCGTTTAATTTAACATCTTTAGAACTATTTTGATAACTGTTTAAAATTTTACGTGCAGCATTTAACCATGCATTTGAACAAACAGAATATAAATCAGCACCAGTCGTATGATTAGGCAATTGAGATATAAACTTTTTTAATTCTTTTCCATTTTCACGGAATTTAAATTTACGAGTTAATGCCTTTAATACATTAAATTGCGAATCACGATCACAATGAATCCCTACATATAATAATTTATCGAATCGACCAGGTCGAAGAAGAGCAGGATCAATGAGATCTGGTCTGTTTGTAGCTCCTATTATAAATACATTACTTGAATAGTCAAGACCATCCATTTCTGCGAGCAATTGAGATACCACACGATCCATTACACCTCCGCTATCACCACTTCGTCCGCGATTAGGTGCTAATGAATCCAATTCGTCAAAAAATATTATACATGGCACTGCTGCTCTTGCTCGCTCGAAGACTACGATATTGTATTTTTTATTTTTAAGATATATATTTTATATATATTTCATTACCTTACCTTGTCTAACATTTTTCTCACTTTGACCGACATACATATTTAGCATTTCGGAACCTTTGACTGATAAAAAGTGAAGCTGATACTCTGTTGCTACAGCCTTAGCAAGAAGTGTTTTTCCAGTTCCTGGTGGTCCATATAAAAGAAGACCAGATTGTCCGAATTCTAAAGTATTCATTAAAGGTAACTGAATTCGTCGCATTATTTCATGTTTCAAGTTTATTAATCCACCTATATCTTCCCAATAAACTTTTGGTATATGTGGTGTACCTTTACAATCTGTATATATAGATTGCATATATTCTATAAATGAAGTGAAAATTTAAATTGATCTAATGTAAACAATAATTATTTTATTATTTTTTTATACTTTTATATAATAATAATTATTTTTATAACATTAAATTTTACCATAAGCTTTATCAAAATCTTCTTGTAAAAGTACTAAGTTAAAAAGCTTTAAATTCTTAGCACTGAAATTTCTGCATTTATCTTTGCATCGAAATTTCACAGCATTTAGTATTAATGTCAATAAGTCTGAATATCTAAAATCTGAACATATTCCAGAAATTTTTGATAAATTCACTTGATAATCAAGATTTTGTTTCATAAGCAACCAAGAAATCAAATTTGTTCTTTTATTTTGATTTAAATGTTCTAAATGAATTGTTTCAATAAAAATTCTGTTTAATTCTGATGGTATCTCAGATTCATTTGTAGTAGCTACTATAATAATTGGATATTTTAAATGTTTATTATATAACAAATTTATCTCATTTGAAAAAGTTGATATAACTCTTTCATCCTTTTGACCTTCAGAATTTTTACCAAATACCTACAAATATTAGTTTAGAAAGTTTGCAAATATCTTAGCAAAAATATTTTTAAAATACCTCTATATTATTTAAACAGAGCATACATGGCATAGATTGTTCAGCATTATGTAATACAATTCGTAATTTAGCTTCTGTTTGTGCTGATGTCAAAGCTTGAACTTCAGCAAAATCTATATTAAGAAAATTCAAACCTATTTTTTCAGCCAAAATTTGAATTAATTTACGTTTATTTGAACCTTGTGAACCCTTAATAAGAAATATTGGGTTTATGGATAATTGAATATCTATCAAAAACATTAAATTTAAATTATAAATTTAATTTATATTATTTAGATTCATTTAGATATTTAATTGATTTTTACCATGTTTAATAAATGGCAAAATACAATGTTCTAAATGTTCCAGAAGTGTAATTATACTTGGTGGATATGATTCTATGTGTTTCTCTTTAATTTGATTATAATCAAAATGTTTCTGAGGTAAATAAGTATGTATATTTGGTTCTTGAATAACTGTAGTTTCTCCAAATAAAATATAAGAAGTATCATTAACTGTACAATCTTTATCATTAATAATAATGGAATTAACTTTAAAATATATTATAGACATTAAAGGATTGATATATAAATACATTTGATCCAACATATATTCCTTTACATTAATTCCAAATAAGTCATTTTTTTTTAGAAATCTAGGTTCAGAAAAATAATTTTCTAATAGAACACGTATTAAATTATCTGTACTCTCATATGGATTAGATATCATAGAAACTTTGACCATTGTAGCAAACTTAATAGCATTATCTTTTGCTGGCACTGAAAGGAATTAAAAAGCTTGAGATTTATTAAAATGTTAATTATAATATTTTAACATATACTTACATAAGAAGCATTTATCAATAGTGCAGTGTAATGCATTTTCTATATTATATTTCATAGTTTCTGATACAAATATATTATTTGTATCAATATTGTCTTTTTGTATTTTAGGTATAATTAATACTTTATATTTTTTTAAAGAAAATTTTGAACATATATAAAACCAAGTGGGTATAGGAGCTTTAAAATATTGTACGTTTGCTAATAAGCAAGAATTACGATCTATATAATAATTTTTCTCATTATAAAATCGTCTTATTAAATTTTTTAAAGCAAAATCAGATAATATATTCCAATTAAATTCCGCATCGATTAATGTTTTTAATTTAAAAAACGTAAACTGTACAAATGTATACAAAAATATGTAATTAAAATTATATTTCATTAATATTTTTGTTAATTCTCGTAAAAAATTCATATAAAAATATAAAGAATTCATATTACATTTGTAATTCGATTAAATTTGACAATAAAAATCATGTGCTGAAAAATAAAAGAATAATAATTTTTTATTTTATATAATGAAATAGAAATCAAAATCATTTAATAGTAGATAACAAGTAGGTAATATACTAAATTTCATAATATCTTATATATAATAACTATGTATATTTTAAATGATTTATATTGTGAAATAATTTTTAATGAAATTTCGTAATGAAAAGAATTTTGTTGGATTTAATAAATCTCCATAATGATTATTAAAAATAGAAAAAAAAAAATTAAAAGAATATAATATTATTGGCGTACCGATTTTGGACCAATCTGCCAAGTTACTATAGAAACAGTGACGGAAGTGTAGATTTAAAGATCATGCAAAGTCCCTTTGTAACAGCTGTCCTATTGGTAATTTTCAATAGGGATTTGTGTGAAAACTATATTAAGCACGGTGAATCTTTCTTCACATCGATTCTCGACTCTTTCGTATAGTATATTGAATTAAAATTTGTGATTAGCAAGACGTAACTCTTGCATCATTTGAAACACAGCATAGCAGAAGACAGTGAACAACCGTTGGTAGTCGCAGCCGTTAAGTAGAAAACTAACCTAACCTAAACTCATAGCGTCCTTATTGGAGATATCAAGACTAGATTTGTTCAAATTTGAAGGTCCACTGCTATTCGAAGAATATTATGCAAAGTTTTAGTACGTGTAAAAGGTTAAGTGTTTCCAAAGAAAAGATCGCTTATACTTTACTTTATCATTTTACAGTTCAGATTATTGTTTGCATTACATTTAATTAAATATCTTGAAGACTTTTGCATTTGAGTTTTTGATTTTGATATATTTTCACATATTACAATAAATTAAAATTATTAATATATTTTATTGTAATATATTAGAACAAATTATTCAAAATTTAACATGTTCTATTGTATTCATTTTTGAAATACCTTACAATTAAAAATATCTTTATAATAGACCATTTAAAAAATAATGTTATCAACTCTTTATTATTTCAATATTTTCTTCCTTCTAGAATATAAGGTGATTTAATTAAAAAAGTATAGAATTAAGAATGGATCCTGCAACAGTCATAGCTCTTTGCAAGGAAAATATTCAACCATTGCGTTATGGACGAAATGCTGTACAGTTAGGAACTGCATTAAGAGCACAAGAAGATGCAGATGCTCAACAATTACTTTTACATGAAAAACAGTGAGTTAAATAATCATTATTAATTTTTATTTTATTATATAATTATATATAATTTTATTTTATTCTAAAATATATTTTAAAATTTCATATTATTGTTTTAGAATGTACGAAGATGCAATAAAAAATTATGATGGAGATGATCCTTTAGAAAATTGGTATGAATATATACTTTGGGTGGAACAAAGTTATCCAAAAAATGGACATGAATCACATATTGGAAAACTTTTGCAACAATGCTTAGCTATATTTGAAAAAGAGACCAAATATCATCAAGATCGTAGATATATACGTCTTTGGATTAATTATGTAAAATATTTGAAATATTTTTTTGTAGAGAAGAAAGTGTTTTTTTTATTATTTTATAGAATAAACATTTGATTGCAGATAAGTATACAAAAAAATCCATTAGAATTATATCAACTTTTGCATAACAATGGAATTGGGACTATGGTTGCAGATATGTACAGAGCATGGGCTTTTGAATTAGAACAAATAGAAGATTATAAACGTGCTGATGAAGTTTATTTAATGGGTTTATCTGCTTTAGCACAACCACAGGATGAATTAGATTATGCTCACAAGTACTGATCATAAAACAATCAATGTGAATAGAATTATTTATAATATAAATTTTATCCATTCTAGGAACTTTCAACTTGCAGTTGCGCGTAAAACATTAGGACGTACGGATGATCGTAATGAAATGTCATTATTTGAACAACGTCAAGCTTTTAGTTCTTTAAGAGCAATAAAAGCTGGTAAAAAAGTTGGTAGTATACGTACTGGACATCGAGTACGCGAACATTTTCCTGGAACAATTCCACAAATTTCATCAGCGATACATCATACTAGACCAAATTCTAGGATACAGATATATCAAGTATATAAATATTTAATAATATATTCTAAATATAATAATATAAATATACATTAAGGAATTTCTATAGGATGATATGCCAAGTGAAATGAAAATTTCAAGTATATTAGATCATGTACCAGTAGAAGATACAATACATAAAGAAAATACAATTAAACCCGGTCCATGGAATAGTGGAAATAAACGATGTCCATTAATGATATCTTCTACAAAATTAGCTTTCAAAGGTATAATTTTATTATAAAAAAAATATATTTATACATTATATATTTCTATAAAAAATTCTTTTTTTTTATTTATTTTATTGTTAAATCATAGTTCATGAAGATCAACCAGATGACCTTGATGCAAACAATCTAAGATTATTTCCAAACCATACATATTTTTTTGATGGTAGCAAATATCCAGAGCATTTAACAGTGCCTGTATTTGTACCAGATCCTCCAAATCCAAATATTATATTAAGGCCTCATTATCCCAAAGAATTAGTTTATGCTAATAATATGGATCAAAGTATGGAGGAAGTAAGAGCTCAAGTGTATTTACAAAGGTAATTTATTTTTATTAATGGCTTTTTAATGGTTTAAATAACAAATTTTTTTAAATGATTATAATTACACATATTAAAAAAATTATAAAATTATAGAGCACAAACTTTAGAGAAAAAGCATGATGTATTAGATATAAGAGAAACTGATCGCCATGTCCAGAATAAAAACTTTGAACCTAATCATCAGAGGCATAATATATCTTTACAAGAATTATGTCAAAGACAAGAGTTTGAACAACAAGAAATAACAGAAAGACAAAGGAAAATGGAACAGCAACGTAGAGAAGTGGAACAACTTGAATTAGATAGACAGAGACTTCAAGTTGAACAACAAGAACTTCAAAGGCAGCAGTATGAAGCTGAAAACCAAGTTTTAGAAACACAAAGACGTGAGGCAGAGCAACGTGAATTAGAACGATTAGAAGCAGAAAGAATTGAAGCTGAAAGGATTGAAGCAGAAAGATTAGAAGCACAGAGAATGGAAGCAGAATTGAATTCACAACGAAAATTACAATCTAGTTTTATTCATCATACATCATCATTGAACACTGACCCTGAGGAACATTTACTTGGACAAAGTCTTACTGTTAATACGAAAGAAGCAATGTCTGTCGTACAAGATATGTGGCGTTCTCCCGATGCAGTATCTACAACACCTAATTTTCGTACTCCTATGACACCTAGAATTCCAGATGCCAAAAGTAAATTATCTTTTGACATACATATGGATAGTTCAATGACACAACAAGCAATGTCAAGTAGTAAACATCATTCGGGATATAATGTACAACCTTATAATGATCAAGAAAATCATCAAAACTATTCTACTCATCAAACTTATTCTAATCAAGAGCATCAAACTTCTTATAATAATTCTGGATTACATAATACATACCAATATCAAATAGAGGTATAATATAAAATACATATAAAAAAAATTTTTATATACTAAGAAATTTTTCTATTAATTTCTAAAATAATTAATTACAGCAACATCACGAACAACAAGTACAGCAATCTCATTCTCGACCACATCATTCACAGCATCATCAACAATTAATTCAAGCACATCAACAAGCTCATGTGATTCCCCATCATCATACTCTTTCTCATGTATCGCATTTGCAGTCTCATAGTCAAATTCAACATCATCAATCTCATCCTCAACATCAACCATCACATAACCAACACCTTCACAATCATCCACATCACATGCAACATATTCAAGTTTATGGCAATATAATGTCAAATGATATTGCTTATCAACAATATTCTTCGCAACTGGAATCCACGTTATTGCAGCAAAATATAGAACCTCAGAAACAACTTCATTATTCTCCATATAACGAATCAGATGTTGAAACCAGTAAACCTTATAGGATGCCACCTGAATTACCGTATATAAAATCTCCAGGAATGAATCGTAGAGATATTAAATATCTCGAAAGTGCTGAAGATAAAGAAAATGCTATTGTTGTTGATTATAATGGACCATTGGAAGAAAATATGACACCAAAGCCAGCTGATGAAAATACTTTATATATCGATGAAAGTCTCGGTATCACACCATTGACGGGAAATAACGATACTTGTTTCACAGAAGCATTTAATACGCAATTAACAAGTTCAACACCTATGACTAATCATTTTAGACAATCTTACAAAATAATAGAAGGAACTCCACAATATTCAAATCAATGTGCTGCACCTCAATCGTATGCAATTTTTAATTATATAATTAATTAATATTATGCTTTGATTTATATTTATTTTGCACTTTATTTGCAGCTGTTCAGATGCACCTAATGGTGAAACTGAAGACAAGTTGAGTGTTATATTAGAATCTACTAGAGAATATATTTCAAGCAGTTCTAGCAGCAGTACTCATACAAGAAATACTGTATTAGGTTTTACATTAACAAAAGAAGATTTGGTTCCAATAAAAGAACAAAGTATTAATAAAGGTATTTTAATCAAATATTTAAGAATTTTTAATTTATTTTTAAAAATTCGCTATATATGAAGGAAGATTTTGTCTTTAATAAGGTCTAGAAGATGAAACAAAAGATATTACTTTATCTGTGAATCAACCTTATGAACAAAAGCTTCAAGCACAAATTCAAGCTCAAGCCCAAATTCAAGCTGTGCACGCTCAAAGTCCGCGTACAGTACAACGTAACGTGGATCAAATTACTTCTGAAATTAAGAAGAATTGTGATCTGCGAAAATCAATTAACTTTAAGTTTAACGAAATAGATCAACAAGAAAAAGTTGATTCAATGGAATGTGAAGAGCACCAAGAACCTATGGAAGAAGCAGAAGAAGAAAGCTTTCAATTACCTTCAGGAAATATAAATCCTTTTGATAGAAATTTGATAGCTGGTCTTTTAAAGAAAATTAAATTCCCCCAGCCACATCATGCAGAGGGATATGTGAGATTAAATATTAATTTAAATAAGCTTGTGCCTTCTACTACGATTACGCTTGGTCAGTGCATTTTGATATACTTAAAACATATATCAGTATTGTCATACAAAATTATTTAGTACTTTTATATCTATATTTGTTACATTTATTTTTTTTATATATTTAGGTACTGAAGCGTACGATTTGGTAAAGTGCCTTGGAAAGGGAACGTATGGTACAGTATTTAGCGCAGTAAACTCACAAACAGCTCAAACTGTTGCCCTGAAAACTCAAAAGCCTGCTTGGGTTTGGGAGTTTTATATCACTAGGGAAATAAAAAATCGTCTTACTAATCCACATATGGTAAAATATTTATTAATTATTCATAAATAACAATTTTATTATTTTTACAATAATAATGTTTTTTTTTAGTTGCGCGGATTTATGGATGTCTCGATGGCGTATGTTGCAAATAATAGTAGTGTATTAGTTTCAGAATATTCCAGATTTGGAACATTATTAGCAGTAACAAACCAAATAAAAATTGCTACTGGTAAACCATTATTAGAGCATTTGGCTATTTTTTTCACAATTGAAATATTACAAATTGTGGAATATTTACATAAATGTCAAATAATCCATGGAGATATTAAACCAGATAATTTTCTCCTAATGCGTTTGTATGTATTTAATATTTATTAACATTTTATGAAATTATTACAAATTTATAATTATAATAATTTTAGACCAACGGAAGATGTGAGGCCAACAATACAATTAATTGATTTTGGATGTAGTATAGATATGAATCTTTTGCCAGAAAAGACAACATTTACTCAGGTTATAAAAACAGAAGATTTTACGTGTATTGAAATGCAAACTGGAAAACCATGGACGTATCAGACCGATTTATACTGTTTAGCTGCGACAAGTCATTGTTTATTATTTGGTAATTATATGAGAGTTTCAAATATTAGTGGTCGCTGGTTTATTACATCGAAAATACCAAGGTATACATATTTAAAAATATGTAAAAATAATGAAAATATGATAACTGATATAATTTTTTTATTAAGTTATAAAAAATAAGATTTATTAAAAATTTATTTAAAAAATATAGGTATGCTAAGAGAGCTGCTTGGGAGCAATTCTTCACAGAATTATTAAATATTGAATCATGCGATAAAATGCCAGATTTATCAAAATTGCGCAACATGATGGAGGAAACATTAGCACAGATGACGGATGCACAACAGAAATTTAGAAATTTTGTTAATATTTTAAACAAACGATAACACTTACTGAATATACTGTATCAAATGTTGTGTCCCCATTTGTGCACATATTTAGTAAAGAACCAACATTTATTAAAAAAATTAATGTTATTATGCTATTTATTATCAAAGTTAATATTATGGTGACATATGTAATACACAGTTAATAGTACATGAAATGCACTTTATGGCCTGCTTCGTGGAGGCTTTAATGGACTATACTGCTTGCACATAATCAATTATATTAAAACTATTAAATACTTAATTCGATAAAAAAAAAACTTTCCAATTTAATGATATTATAGACATTTTATGCTCCATAAGTTATAAAAATGTCTTTCAAGATACCTCGTGGCACAGTACCTGGATGTTAGCATCTGTCACGTAAATTATGTAAAGGTAGATTTGTATAATAATAAAGTTGAATTAAAAACGATACTTTGAAAAAAATGGATATGTAAAAAATAAATATTTATAATATCATATGCAAAGATAAATGCGGGTTGTTTATCCACAATGTTTTATAATTACAAGCGGAAAAAATTTGGGTACTGACATATAAAGTACACCATGTAAGCTTGCATTCTTAGATAATATGTATGTAGTGTTTATAAAATATATATGGGATAAAATAAACTTCTATTCGACAGATATTACATTTTTTTACACGCACACATATGCATTTTAATGTAATTATATTTAAAAAATTGAATTTCTCTCGCATGTTCTGTAAAAAATAAATAATAAAATAACAATAACAATAATAATAAAAACAAAAATATGTTTTAATAATTGATTTCAATATTAATATTTTTTTTTGTTTTAGATATTTATTTAGAAAAAATTTTCGATATTTTGATAATAAAATATGCAAGCTCATAAAATGTAAAAATTTAATATAATATGTAAGCAATTATATACAAAAATTACATTGATATATAATTTTCTGATTTGTTTTATTAATTTTTTATTTTGAATGTGCAGGCTTATTCATCAGTATCCACTAAACAGGCCTTTATGTAGTATATTTTATAAAATAGAATTTATATATATATATACTTAATATGCATACGATAGAAATTTCAAAGTTTGTGTTCAAGCAATTCGATCTTAGATTTTATAAAATGCACAAGAACATTAGGTTGTCTAATATTTAAAAAATAATATAAATTATATATGTTGAATTAGAAATCATAATAATAATAGACAATCTATTGCTCTCATTTAGAAATTTCTAAGAATATGCCTTATCTTATTTTAACGATGCAACATAAAAATATTTATATTCATATGAGATATATCTACAATTATTCAATACCTATATTATTAAAAAGAAAAAAAAGAGAAAAAAACGAGTATTGCTGAAATTAAATTTAATTATATAAATAAATTTAGAGGAAGTTATAGGTGATATTTACTATAGTTAGTTTACTAATTTTTATAAAAATTAAAAAAATATGTTTCTCTTCTAAAAATTCTTAATTATATTTAAAAACTTTTGTTCTATAGATTTCTTTATGTATTATTGTTAAATATATCTTATAATGTAAAATTAAAAATAATTAAATCATTGCATGCCAGTGTTACATTATAAATATATAAATCTAAGATTTTATAAATTTATATACTTTGTTACACTGGTCTTTCTCATTGATACACACAACTATTCCAAGAAATCTTGTATAAATAAACTTAAGTTTTTATAAGTATAATTATTTACAAAAATTAATTGTATGATAACTTTTCTCTCTCTATGAATTTTGTAAATCGAATCTAAAATTTCTATAAACTATACAAAATTTAAGATTTACCATATCTTCATTTAAAATCTCATAAGAACATAATGCATAGTTGTCATATTTATAAATTTACATAATTTAATTTGTTTCTTTAAGTTTTACCATAAAATTTTCGATTTAATAAATATAACAATAAATTTACATTAATTTTTGCTTTTCCAAACATATCCATAATCGGTGCACCTTCAAATTGTAATTCAAGTAACTTTTGTATATCGATATCAACTTTTTCCATTTCTACTCCCATAAATTTACAACGTACGCTAAAAAGGCCGGTATGTTCTGTTGGACTTATTTCGAAAATTACATTTTTAAATTGTGATTGAGGAAGTCCATCAACTTCTAATAATACTCCTTTTTCTTGTAATTTGGATGCAGAATATTTTAATGTCATTTTAGATCTTAATTTAACATGATTATTTTTTTGAATGGCTTTAAATGCTTGTAACGATCTATATAAAAATTTTAGATTTATTAAAAGTATAAAACATAATAGAAAAAATTGTATTACATACCCTTTTCCAGTGTGTAAATTTTCCAAACAACGTTGTATATATTCATTATAATATTCTACTTGTTCTTGATAATATTTACATTTTTCTTCTAATCTTTGTTTAGTTATCCGTAACGTCTGTAATTCTTTATTTCGTATTATTCGATATTTTCCTTTGTTACAAAGATCTTTGGCCACTGCAGTTATAATATTTTGATATCCATCTGTTTGATTGACCCATCCACCAAGTTCAAGTTTATTAAGATATGCTCGTAACTGAAGTTTACAATCATTTAAGGACGAACTGTAAATAAATTTTTACTTCTTCTTTATTTATTTAACTAATAATTTATTTCATTATAATACCTTTTATGAATGATATTTAAAGTAGGCGATAAGCTGGAGCATTTTACATCATATAATTTTTCTTGTATAGGAGAACATATAGTTTCTAAAGCTTCAACTAATGTTTGACCTTTTAAAAATTGTAATACAGAAACTAACAATTCCTTCGTTTTTATAAAAAGTTTGTTTAGACTAACATCTTCATCTTCTGGTATTTGAAATTTATTAGTGAGTATGAGACATACTTCTGTTTTCCCAAAGCGCATTAAATTCGTCTCACATATACTATCAGCTAATGAATAATTTTAATGAAATGTTAAATGTTAAATGAAATACAATGTGATAATAAATTTTCTTACAGATCCCAAGTAAAGAAGCAACAGTTGGTGCAGGACCTAAATCATCCAATAAATCATGCAAGGAATCTAGTGGATCTGGTGCTATTTGATCTTGATATTCTAACATAAGGCAATGAGTATCACAAATTTCCTATAATTAACAAAAATAAAAAATATAATAAAAAAATTATGGTAAATTATTAAAATCTCGCTTACTTGTAGTGAAATATAAATTTCAGGTTTCTGAATGAGTGTGGCTTCTGTATATTCGTGAATACAAAAATGTTCTTCTAAATCTTCAATTTGACAGCAGTAACGGAAAAAACTTTTAAATTTTTCATGGCATTCAATTATAAATGGATTTAAACAGACTAAATGTGTTGCCTCTTCACCAAACTATAAAAAAGTATACATATAATGCTTTTTATTCAATTTTAAATATTATAAATATTGTAAGAAATATAATTACTCCTTTTTTAGAAGCAGCAAATTGTAAAATTTTTGCAATACTAGCTAAATTTCTTCGTTGATCATTTGATAATGATCTATCAATAGGTAATGTAATTATATCAAAAGCATCTGGAGCTACAATAGCTGCATTTATGAAATGATAATAAATCAAATTTCCCACTACTTTTAAAATATCTTTTTCTGGAGCATTTGAGAATTTTTCAGTTAAAGAATCGTTTAAAATTTTAGCCATATATAACATTCCATATGGTATTAAATCTCTTGATTCAGTTATTTTAGTTAAAAATTCTAAAACAGTACTTTGCAATAATTGTATTCCCTTATTTAGTCTACTTTGTACTTGTTCATAATTTAAAGCTTGTTCTTGTGTTACCGTATAAGGCAAATTTCTGTACAAAAAAAAAAAAAAAAAAATCAATAAAAAAGTATAATATTTAATAAGATTTATTAATATTGTTTTAAACTTACAATGTTTCTCCTGTTTCCATTTCTAATTGATTTCGCCAACATTTATAAATATCGATAGGATTTGTTTCTATATTTAATGTTCTATCAGCTAAAATTTTTTCAATAATTGGTCCAACAATTTGTCTTAAAGCTCTTTGACCATTTAATTGCCGCGCATAATTCACTACCATTTTCAAAACAAGAGGATTTCCGGTAACAACTTCAGATGGTTTTTGAAATTTACATCTATTATAAGTTTATAATATTATAAATATTAATTTATATTCTTATTTTATTTTTTTATGGAATGATAATTATACCTGATTTCTTCTTTTAATGCACTCCCAAATAATTTTAATAATAGATATTCTTCTCTAATATTTGATCCGAAATTAAACAATGTTAAAATTACATTTTGAAGAAATTTATTTGTTTTACTTTGAGGTAAAAGAAACAAAAGTTTTGATAAGTATGTTGGATTAGTTTGTAAAGCATAAAATAGATGTTGATAACCTTCCAACATTTTTCGACCTTCTTTAGTTAATGATTTTAAACCTTTATGTGAATTAATACCATCTGATAAAGAACTTCGTTGCTCCCTATTGGAATGTTTTTGCTTTGCAAGTGTTTCTAAACTTTTTCCATGAGCTACAACATCCTAAAATTTTTAACTTTTTAAATATATTTTTAGGTATATATTAGCAGATATGATATATATATTTTTTATATTTTAATCATTACTTGTAACGTAATTCTATTTTGTATAAGTAAACCAATTTTTATATCCATACTATCTAACTGTTGTGATAATATCTGATTATGTCGTATACTTTGTACAACTTCATGTTTTAAATGCTGTAATAATAAATTCATAATAAAATATCAATGGTTAAAATCTTGTTTAAATACTAAAAACTTATATACTTGTAACTGTAAATCTTTATCATAATCTTCCGCATTAAAATTTAGAATTGCGGAAAAATGACGAACAACAGGAAATGGTGGTTTTTCCATATATAATAATGAATGGAAAGCGCGTCTTTCAGCACGACCACGCCATATAGCCTGTATTTTTATAATTTTTTCTTCCTAAAAAATAGTAATATATATATATATATATATATATACTAGGTAAATCAATAAAATTCTTATTTCATCGTGGATAAATCTCAAATAAAAAAAGAAAAATATTATTTTACTTACTTGTTCTTTATAATAATCTAATACATTTATATATTTAGCTTTTATTTCCAAGTATGTATTTTGAAATTTTTTTGCATTAAATTTTCTTTTCTCTTCTAATAATTTCATATATCGTTTTCGTTGTACTATACTTCTCCACCAAGCTTGTATTTTAATAATTTTATCTATATTATCATAAAAATATGTAAATCTATCAGAAATTTTTTTTCTTAATAAATATCCACGAATATAAGCTTGGAATCGAATTATCTGTTTACTTATTTTATGCTCTTCATGTTCTCTTATTATAGTGGTTTTTATTACTTCCTGAAAATAGCCAATTAATATATTTACTAATACATATAATAGATTAATAAATAATATTTTTTCAATATATAAATTAATTTAAATTTTTTAATTACACAGTACTTTTATGTCTTCCATGCTAATATAAAATGTTTCAGACATATTTTTAGGACAGTCCCAGGTGTAATTGTATTTCTGCAAATCTAGATATGATTCATTATTATTAGGAGTAATATAATAAACAAATGCACAATCATAATTTTTCTCCTG